ATTTCGGCCATGACTGTATATGATAGTGGCTAAAGCTATGCAACACTTCCATTTCCCTTGGTGCCAAATGAGCCTCCAAAACCACTGGTTTACAACACAGATACAGCCTTATATTGTAGATCTATTTTTTCAAATGTGCATACGGCTGTTTCGGGCTTGTTGACCATTATTTAGAAACTGTGTATAGTGCAGTGTGGAGAAAATATGGTGTCTATGAAATAGAGCTTAAGGAGCAAAGAGATAGTATAACCAGACCAGGCTATGGTGCGGTGACTTATAAGGAACCATCAATTTTGATATAAGAGGGGATATCTGACACCTAACTTTATATTCACCATTTTATTTTATTAAAAGATATTTATAGCTGACTGCAGATTTCTGGTGAAATGGTAAATGTACAGTATGTTCAGTCTGAAATGTATAAAGAGGCACTCCAAATCCCAATGGAAATTGATTTACATACTGTTTTGTTACCAGCAAAAAAAATGAATGCGCTTGCCTTTCATATGCAGTATAAATCACTGACCAGCCATCTATGTCTATTGTAAAAAAAAAGTGCCATCGTCTTGAGTCAGCTATGAGACACAGTACAGGCTTTCAGTGCCCATAATAACTTAGTTTCATGTGAAAAGCAAAACACAAGATCTTGCAGATATATTCTGTACAGAATATAAAACAGAGTGCAATCTATTATCTGGCTAAAAACAAAATCCCTGTCTCTTGTACCCAGTAAAATATTCCGTTGTCATGCATCTCACCTTTTGTATGTCCTCCCCATTCTCTCTCCTCTGCTACTTTGTCTGTTCTTGAGAACTACTGTGGGCAGAGAAACATAATTGCAGCACAGAATCTGTAAACAAAATTTTTTCTGTGCCTAATTCCTGAGACTTCCCGATAACACTAATGATGTAAAATTGTGCAGGGACATTTTATTATAGTGTTTGTGTTGTGTATTTTACCAAAGGGTTGCACAGTCATAGTCCCTGAACCCATCCTGGAACCACCAGAGGATCCTATGGCCCTCTGGGGGGCTATTATCCTTGGATATCTTTGTGGAAGTCCTTATCACAATGCTATAAACCTTTCCCACTTAAAAAATATTAGCTCGTAAAAAGAGAAAATTGTGCCTTATTATTGTTTTTCGTATATGTTGATGAATTCAGAAGTCTTTGTAGTGTAAGGATGATTTAAGAATAATGGGGTTCTGGTACAAGAGATATATTTAGAATTAAGAATTGTACACTGAATTCTGGCCAGGACAGATGATGATTTTAATTTTACACAATTAATTAGGATCAGGATCTAAGTATAGTCAGGACCTGTAGAACAATATCTGAAAATCTTGAAACTATTTACAAGTCTTAATTGTTAATCTGCTCTGTTCTGATATACTAGAAAAATGCCACCTTCCAAAAAAAGCTAACTGTATTTTTATGACTGAAAAATGGAGAACATATGTGTCATCCCCCTAACCAAGGTAATGCTTTTGAAAAGCTGGTGTATTGGTGGGCTTGAGTGACAAGAACTCATCACTTCATCGTTTAGGATTCCCTTCTGCAATGGAACATTAATCCTTCTGCTTTATTTATCGTAATGATAAATAAAAATAAAACATACAGAATCAACCTCTTTTTATTGGTTGAAACAGCTAGAATCTGTTACTATGTCTGAAGTGCAGATCACACCTCTGGAGTTTCAAAGAGATATAAAAAATAATCTTGTAAATCAAACTGCTTGGACCAACCAAAATATCAATTCTATGTAGACTGAAACTTTAAATGTATAATTCATAAGGTGAACAGGTTCCAGATTCTGCACACTGCATTCATTTTCAAAGAACACAGAACTGATCATCACATATAGTCTAGTTTAATAAAGGGTGATGACTCTCCATGGATAGAATATGTTGGTAACAAAGAAAAGTCATGTTCTACGATGAAAGCCATGTCCATCTATTCAGCACTGTGTAAACAATTCATTTCAGTGTAGGCCTAGTGACTCAATGCTCTGTCAGAGCCTAAAGGATGCAACTGCCACTGCTGATAATATGACTGTGAGCATAGTGGATGTTAGCCATTTTACTATGTTGCCTTTGTTCGTGCAAGATGACAAGTAACAAAACACAAACTACATGAAAAATATGTCTCTTTCATTTAAAGGTGTTAATTTCAGTTGTTCTGCTTGGCTTTTGTTTCTTTCCTTGGCTCAATATTAACTTCTTTGTAATCATGATTTATTAATTAGTAAATATCAGGAAAGGTTACAGGGCCCTCATTTGAACGTAAGTGTTATAGCATATTTTTGAATGCGTATTTGTGTTTTTATAGAAAATAATAAATGGGTGTTGATAAATTAAGAAAAAAAAAAAGAAACACACTTTCTGTTACTTGCTGAGGACTCTGGGAATAAAACAAAAAATATTCTTGCTGTTGGGCCACCCTGCAAACTGCAAGCGTTAAATGATTGCTAAGTCTAGATGGTAGAGGAAAAGGCTGTAATTGTTACCTTACTCCTAGTTCCCCCAGTCTCTAGCACTCCATTTATTTGATGCTCCTGGTTTTGAGTGGGCTTTCACTGTTTTCACATACAATGCAGGATTATAGGTCCTGCACTGTACATGAAGACATCAGAGTGCAGCTGTGGGCCTGAGTGCCTTAGAGAAGAGGCTTTGGGGACTGGTCACACAATGTGGAGGAAAGCTCATGCAGAGAGGAAAAAGGTAACAAATACAATTTATTCCTCTATGCCTAGACTCAATTACCATTTAACTCTAATAGTGTGGGATAGCCCTGCTGCAAGTGTAAATTTTTTTCTGGTGCTGGAACCTAAAACCTAAAGCTTTTTATTCAAAATGTGTTTTGCATTAAGGTACTGTAGATCTTTATCGTACAATTATCACCCAGTGAATAACTTAACCATACTCCCTGTCGGCTCGGGCACTCTGCTCTGGATGGCTATGCATAGCACAGCCATCCAGAGCAGTGTACTTACAGTGCAGCACCAACACACCGCCCCCCAGTAAAACACTCCCAGCACACAGTTAACCCTTTGATCGCCCCATATGTTAACCCCTTCCTGCCTAGTGCCATTAGTACAATGTCAGTGCTTTTTTTTGGTGTCTGGGGATGTCAGTGACACCAAGTCAGTTCTCCCCAGTGCCAGAATGCCCACCGCAGTCCTGCAGTCCTGCTATAAGTTGCTGATCGCCGCCATTACTTGTAAAAAAAAATAAGAATCCCAGTATATATGCCGACATTTGTAAATGCTATAACTTTAACGTAAACCAATTCATTTTCACATATTGTGATTTATTTTTTTTTTTCGCAAAAACAGAATACATTTTGGCCTAAATTTATGATGAAATTAGATTTTTTCATTTTTTTACTGGACATGTTTAATAGCAAAAAGTCAAAAATATAGTTTTTTTTCTCACAATTGTCTGTCTTTTTTTTATAGTGCAAAAAATAAAAAACACACAGGCAATCAAATACCACCAAAAGAAAGCTCTATGCATAGGAAAAAAGGAAGTCAATTTCATTTGGGTGCAGCATTGCATGACCGTGCAATTGTCAGTTAAAGTAGTAACACATCGCTGTAACACAAAAAATGGCCTGGTCAAGAAGGAAGGTAAATCCTCAGGAGGGCAAGTGGTTAAAAACACTTGCTCTATTGCCACTATGCAAAAAAAAAAAAACTTTTATAGCTTGTCATTGACCATAATCAAAAAAACATAATGCATGAAAACCCATGAAAAACGAATGAAAAATGCACATAAACATGAAAAAACGCACGAAAAAGCAAAAGTACAGTTGTGACCAAGCCATTAGAGAGTACCCACAGGCTGCCAGCCCCAGGAAACATCTTATGGAGAACGTATTGGGAGGACTTATATAGAAGACTGAGGGGGCACACTACATCCTGGGGAAAAAAGAGAGCCCCAGGGAGCCTCTTCTTGGCCTAGGCCCCCTTGGTGATCCGTTGGGTCCTGGACCCAGTACCAGAGAACTGCCTGTATTCACTATAGACAACTCCAATGGCAGATCTGTGTGGCATTAGAAAACACTATAAGTTAAATAAATATCTTCTCCTCTATTTTACTAACATATTTGACTGTTTGCCAGTGTATACATGCTTCTAAACATTTTATGTAAAATAAAGGCAAGGGATGTGTTTTGGGACAGAATTGTAACATGGGCAAAACCTCCATACATACAACATTGTATTTTGTCTAAATAAAAGTGTTCCATGGGAACTCTTGCTGTAATATATCTAAATGCATCTGCTATATGTATTAATAGACAAGACTATGTCCTAACAAATGGCAATGCTGCATCATTTTCTTTTTTTCTGTCATATCTGTTTTAAACATTCAGCCATCTGCACATTTCTATAATATGGTTAATACCTGACAGAAACATATTGCAGGACATTCATGACGAGTGAGACTTTTCTTTTACCAAAACAATATTTGTTCCCATTAAAACAAAATATCTCTTGATATCTCTGAGACATTAGATTAGGCATTTTGCCTATGATGAAATATGTTTTATACAGTACATTGGCTAAAATATTGTATGTCCCAGTACATAGTTTAACCACTGTCGCACTTTGTATGACAATTGTGCGGTCATGCAACACTGTACCCATATGAAATTTTTATCATTTTTTTGAGGCAGATAGAGCTTTCTTTTGGTGGTATTTAATCACCTCTGGGTTTTTTATGTTTTGCAAAACAAACCAAAAAAACCTATAAATTTTGAAAAATAAAGGATTTTTCTTAGTTTCTGTTATAAAATTTTGTAAATAAGTGACTTTTCTCCTTCGCTGATGTGCACTAATGAGGCTGCAGTGATGGGCACTGATAGGCTGCACTGATGGGCACTGATAGGTGGCATTGATGGGCACTGATGAGGTACTGGTAGGTGGCACTGATGGGCATTGACAGGCATCACTGACGGGCACTGAAAGGCAGCACTCATATATGGCACTGATAGGTGGCACTAATAGGCGGAACTGACCGGCACTGATAGGCAGCACTGACTGACACTGTTAGGTGGCACTGACTGGCACTGTTAGGCAACACTGATAGGCAGCACTGATGGGCACTGATAGGCGGCACTGATGCACACTGATAGGCAGCATTGACTGGCACAGATAGGTGGCGCTGATTGGCAGCACTGATAGGTGGCACTGACTGGCATTGATAGGTGGCACTGACTGGCACTGGTAGGTGGCACTAAAAGGCAGCTCAGCTGGGCACTGATATGTGGCATGGATGTGGCACTGATAGGCACTGGCAGGTGGCATTGATGGGCAATGACAGGTGGCATTGATGGGCACTGACAGGTGGCACTGCTGGGGCTACACTGATCATCAGGGCACACTGATCATCAGTGCCCTGATGATCAGTGTACATGTCCCTCCGAGGAATGCCGATTACCGGCTCTCCTCTCCTCACGAGCTGTCAGCATAACAGCTCATGAGGAGAGAACTGCCGATAACCGGCATTTCCTTATTTACATGCGGTCAGCTATGATTGGACAAAGCTAATCACATGACAGAGCCGATGTCTTCAGCTCTTTCCATTGATTGGTGATCCGCTGTGTCCCAGGGACACAGCGCACCAGTGATCGCCGCGCTGTGAACCCCCGGGGGCGCACACGCGCGATTAGAGTGGGAGGACATCATATGACGTCCTCCCAGAACAAGAGAACCACCTTGCGCCCGTCATTTCCTTATATGGTGGGTGGGAGGCGATTAATATGTACTCCATGTGAAAGAAATGTATTATTAGCATTACATTAAAAAAAGAAGTCCCTGTGCACATGGGCAAAACAAATGCCACTATCAGTACTATTTGTTTATGATTTTATGCCTCTGAACACAGCTCTATATTAGTCAATGGGGTTGATATACTAAACACAAGCAGACAGTGCACTTTGCAAAGTACAGTTGTACTCTGCAAGTTCAGTGCTCCAGAGCTTGGTAAATGAGCAAAAGCGCTGCTGACTTACATCATCCAATCACGTGCAAGCAAAAATGCTGTTTTTTTTTTCCCTTGAACATGATTGGGTATTCTTTGGAAAGTGAAGCTTTACCTTATTGACTATGCCCTGAAGCAACTGTGCTTGCAGACTGCAACTGCACTTTCAAAAGTGCACAGTCTATTTGTCTTTAGTAAAGGAACCTAACTGTACACAATTCTACAAGGGTATGCAAACGTTTGAGCACAACTATTTGTGTGTAACTACATAGCATATCTCTCTCTCTCTCTCTCTCTCTCTCTCTCTCTCTCTCTCTCTCTTTTTTAATGTATTTATTTATTTTTAAATTCTACCTGCATTACCTGCTATTTCACCTGCTAAACAGTAACAACCAAATACTTTGCATGTCCTGGAGGCATTTTGCTAAGACGAATGGAGCCGCATGTAGTCATTGATGCTAAAGATGGCAATACACAGTGTTAAGAACTAAGGGTATGCAGACTTTTGAACAGGGCTTGTTTCATTTGTTTACTTGTTGCAATGTTTTGTTTTATGATTGTTCCAGTCTATTATGACCTACAGTTGAATATGAATCCCATAGGAAATAAACTAAACATGTTTTGCCCACTCACTCTTTTTTTCTTTAAAAATAGAACATACTGGGGTTGATTTTCTAAAAGCAAATAGACTGTGCACTTTGCAAACTGCAGTTGCACTCTGCAGGAGAAGTTGCTCCAGTACTGTGAGGCAGTACTCCAGAAGCTGCGAGGCATGTGTTGTCAGGCATATTGTTGGAGGATAGATGCTGCCGTACATTGGTGGTCGGTGGTTATCGTGGCATGGACACACAGATCCCAGCTTGGGATCGAACTTGAACAAGTACACCCATAGGAAGCAGTTTGCTATGGGGGCACTTGATAGGGTGGAGGAACCAGGTACGCCGACGGGAGACCCCACCAGAGGAGGATCGATACTGCTTTGTGCAATACCATTGCACAGAGCAGGTAAGTATGACATGTTTGTTAGTTTAAAAAAAATGCCCCTACAATCACTTTGAAGAACTCCAAGCAGATAAAAAAGCAACAATAAACACATTTATATATTGAAAAAAAACATTAAGTCCTCATGCACACTGGACGTTTTTAGAGCTGCTGTTTTTGGCTTTTGATGTTTTTTTCTACAGCCAGTATACTCCCCGGCATGTTATCCTATGTGTCCATGCACACATAGACTGTAATCAGCATTTTTTGACAGGGACGTTTTTTGCTGGAAAAAAAAAACAAGAACTAGTGGGTTTCTAGAGGAGTTTTTAAGCTGTAAAAATGCTCTAACGCTGAAAAATGCGGCAAAATGCGGTAGAACACAGTAAATCGCAGCAAACAGACTTTTTTAGATGTTTTTTGAGCAAACAATTTAAACCCAAACATTAAAAAACGCGGCAAAACGCCACTAAAAGCTAATGCAAAAAAAAACTAAAATCTGCTGAAAAACTCTCGCTTTTAATGTGACTTTACATAGCTAATGTTACCAGCATTATTAAAATGCCCAGTGTGCATGAAACTTAATTTGTTTTTAAGCAACAACTTTCACTACACTACATATGCTACATGATTTATTTATTACAGTAGGACACTCCAACAAAACTATTTAGTGGTGTGATGCATCATATTTCTCTTTCTGCTTGCTGCCTAACAACACTTAAATGAATGAATGGTTTTCTCTGAATTTGTTTTAGTCACAGTAGACAGAATTGTGATAAGATCAATGCTTGATTTCTAATGCAGTGACACACATTCTTCTAGTTGAACTGTTGGCAAGCAACAATCACAACAAAATTAGTGGTGCTACATGACAGCTTTACAGCCCTTTGGATGAGCACTGTTCAGAAATAGGCAGCCTATGAGCAGCTATGCCTAGACAATGTTTTCTCCTTTGGCAGTGAGTTTGTGACCAATGTGTTGGAAACAAGACCGGGATTGGAAGACAGGATTCAATTCCAGTGATTCAAGTAAACATGTATTTCAGATGTCTCTGTAGTCTTTATGATTACTGACAGAGAAGGGGCTTATCAACCTGCATAGTCTTTTGAAAACAGCATAGCATATATTGCTTTAAAGTGGTTGTAAACCTAAAAAACATAAATCAATCTAATCCTACAGTTGAATATTATTATTATACAGTATTTCGATTTTACCTTTTCTAAGCATTTGAGCTTAGTTTGGTAACTTGAAGCAACCCCCTTCTCCAGAAATCCCCCCTGCTTTTCTGTTCAGAATAAATCCAACACAAGCAGAAAAATGGTGTCGCCGCTCCCCTACTCCTGTGAGTGACAGGCTGTTCTAAAGACGAGACCAGCCTGAACCTCCATGTAATACACTGCAAAGGGGTGGGGGAGAGGGTGTCCTCTCCCGGCTGGTCTCGGCCTTCACAAGATCGAGAACACAGCACCAGTGATTTATAACATAGATCGGCATCACTTCAGTAATGCTGGAGTTATCTAGGTAAGTCTGCTGACAGCTGGTTATTGTCCTGCTCAATTCACAGCACCTAGCTTGTAGCTGTGTTGTTTGTACATCTCATCCACCCACCTGCTGTCCGGCTTGCCAGCGAATATAGACTGATCATATGCCCATTTACTCTCATCCTTGGGAGTGTATTTTAACCCTTCCCTTTACTTGTTTTTATTTAAACTGATACACTTAGATGGTGGCACCTTCTGTTTGTTTATTATTAAAATAATCAATTTAAAGCTTTGCTGATTAGAGCATGGATCATTTTGTTGAAAGTTGTTTGAGCCAGGATGTGTTTGGCTTGGCAATGGTCTGAAAACACTGTAATTATGCTATAGTTATTATATATAATCACTTTGAAAATGGCTATCAGGCTGACCAAATATCAATCTAGGCCATAAAGATGTGCAAGCTTATATTGTGAACGTGCAGTTTTTGTTGCCACAGTGACTTTCATAGATGCCTTTCATGAGATTAAGTGTGTGGTGGAAAAAACTTTCACCAAGGTCTGGGAACAAAAGATCATTTTTTCATGGCAGAAAGCTTTCTATGTTATTGGAAGAAAGGGTTGGGAACCCTAGTTTGGAGAATTACTGCTGATGTCTCCATAATTAATAAGAAATGTTTCCTTGTTGAAACTTTTTATTGTTTACCAGGTAACAAAACATGAATCAGATCCAAAGCAGACTGTCTAGGTAGGCCTAGTGTACAATGGTTACAAAACTGAGTTTAGTCCTAGGTTGCAATTGGAACATCATACATCTTTGCTGTTGGATCAACAGGATATCAATAGTATAGCGAAGAATATGTGGATAGTGGCCTCGAGGGCAGGTCAGCTAACTTGAGTGATAGCTCCTGACATTCTCCAGTGGATAGTGAATCACTGTGTAAGAATTGCAATGGAAATTAGGCCCAGGGTGTGTTGTACAAATGGACTCGCTAAGTTCTGCTGTATGAGTCATAGTGAAAGATGGTCAGGAGCACAAACAGAAAAGTGGAAAAAAAGAGAAGCCAGAAAAGGAAAAAAAGAAAAAAAAGGGGAGAAAGAGAATAGAAGGTAATGAGGAGTTCCCCAGAGGATGTGCAGCTGGTTAAAATTCTGTAAGTATGGTCCATGGGTTAGGTTACGCTACCAAGGCTTAAGCACTGTTGCTTCAAGATCAGGCGGTAAACAGTGCTTAATCCAGGTTTGCTATGTTCTATCGAATTTGCCCATTTTTCAAGTGCCTCCACCTTGAATTGTCAATAGGTTTGGTGCTGATATATGAGGAGATGACAAGAAAAGGAGAATATTATTTTCAAATAAGCAGTTTTTATGATGGTAACCACCCGACTCATTGCCAGTAACTGTGGGGTCTGTTCTTATTTGCTGGGCAAGAGGCTCAATAATGAGGGCAAAAAGCAAGGGGGAAAGTGGGCATCCTTGTCATGTACCCCTTCCTATATTAAATGTATCCGACTTATATCCGGCGTATTTGATATAGGCTCTTGGTTGATCATATAGGGATGTTATCCACTGAATGAAGTGAGGACTGCAGTCCCATTATTGCAGAGTGAATTGTAGGTAGGGCCACAACACCGTATTAAACACTGTCTTTATATCTAAGGAAAGAAAGCATGAGGGAATACATTGCGATTTAGCCATCTTTGCAAGGAGTACAGCACCGTAAATGTTGTCACTAGTTTGAAGAAAGGGCATAAATCCTACCTGGTCGTGTTTAATAAAACTTCCAATGACTTTAGTTAGGTGGGATGCCAAAATTTTAGCTATGAGTTTTATATCTAGATTCAAAAGTGAAATGGGATGATAATTTGTCCAAGTTGTATTGTCAGAGTGGTGTTTTAGGGGCATACAGAT